GGGGGGAGGAGCCAACATAGTAAAATATCCTAAATTGTAAATAGGCATATTCCCTAGCTTTGTAAGGGGAATAAAAGGTGGGGGGTGTGGTCCGTTTCATTAAAAAAAATATAAATGCGACTTGGGGTGGAGAGTCATTTTTGGTCAAAAGCAACGAAAACAATGGTACGGCCACGTAACAAGGAAACAAGGGCTTGCCAAAGAAATATTGCAGGGCACCACAAGAGGAGGGAGAAGAAGAGGAAGACAAAGGAAAAGGTGGGAGGATAACATCAAAGAGTGGACAGGACCAACACTGGGCGATGCAGTGCGTAGAGCCGAAGACAGAGAGGAATGGAGGAGGATGGTTCACATGTCATCTGTGGCGCCCCAACGGTCCAAGTACTAAGGGACATGAGGATGAGGAAGAGGAGGAAAAAAAAATAAAGGTAATTAATAACACCCAGAGCGTAATTTGATTATTAAAAACTAAATTCAGGTGTGCGGCAAAGTGCATTCCTACGCATCTTTGATTTTGAATTAGAAATCTTGTCCTAAAGGGTCCATTGGCTCAAAGCTCCTCCCCATACTCCTTCCCCGCCCCACATTTCGCTCATTTTTCGGCTTCGCCCCCAGGCGACGCTTTTTCTTCGGCACGGCCACCATCTCTAACACAAGTTGTACTTCAACTCAAAGGGCCGGTAACCTATGTGCACTGGAGTAAGGAGAGGGGAGCGGAAGGGGGGGGGGGCGGCGACACTACTTTCTTACGGGCGGCCATTTCGGCCAACTGCCGAGAATTTATTGTTGAAAGGGGGCGGTAAAAAACTTGACCCGCCTGGATGGCAGCAAACCTAGCTACGCCACTACTGATACGACATTAAGATATAATGTTTCTAGGAGGCGCCCCAAAATGTCGCCCGGGTCGTAATCCGCCACTGCTCCAATAGCAAAGACGATGACCGCTTCAAAGAGCCTCATTCGCCAAAGATCCAAGGTATGCAAATAAATAAAAAAAAGTTGAGGACCGCTGAGACTCAGCCACTAAGAACCAGATAACGTTTGTGATTCTTAACTTCATAACCAGGTGGACAGGAACCTGTCAATGACTTGAACATCCAGGGGTCATGGAGGTCAAATTGCGTCACAGAGCCGTTTTGATAATGCCAGATGTAGATTTTGATTAAGAGAGTACTTCGGATTTTGGGTCATAGGTCCAAAGCTTTTTTATCTGGCTTTAGGGTCGTAATTTTTATATTAAACTGAGCACAGGCCAATCCTTAATATTCTGTGACGCAAGTTGTCATAGCAACAAATAACATGCCCATTTGAATTAGTTCCCTTTTCGTTCAATAATATTAATAAAGTTATCTGTTCGAAAACTAAAAAAAAAAAAAAACGTGTATAATGTATGCTTCAGTTTTGAGGTTGCATAACGAGTTTCAGTAATGTGCTGGTAAGTAGGAAAACTGAAATCTGCAGCGTAGTTTACTTAGACTCACGATTTCTTTAAATCTTTCAATGTTTGGTGGAGCCCCGATTTACTGATTCCGAAATGTCAGAGGTGAAATAAGACTATAAATAAAGGCTTCTATGCAAAGGGAAGGACATTTTCTAATTCATGGTTCTTTATTGGCGAATGATTGAGATAAAAATCTGACTCTAACATGGCTCAGTTTCAGAGCCATCCTGTTGAACCTGCAACTCCTGCGGCTGCAAAAAAAAAAAAAAAAAAAAAAAAAA